GACACACATCTGCCCCTGACACACATCTGCCCCGACACACACCTGTCCCTGACACACACCTGCCCCTGACACACATCTGCCCCTGACACACATCTGTCCCTGACACACATCTGCCCCGACACACATCTGTCCCTGACACACATCTGCCCCTGACACACATCTGCCCCTGACGCACATCTGTCCCTGACACACATCTGTCCCGACACACATCTGTCCCTGACACACATCTGCCCCGACACACATCTGTCCCTGACACACATCTGCCCTGACGCACATCTGTCCCTGACACACATCTGTCCCGACACACATCTGTCCCTGACACACATCTGTCCCGACACACATCTGTCCCTGACACACATCTGCCCCTGACGCACACTTGCCCTGACACACGCCTGCCCTGACTGACACACGCCTGCCCTGGGCACCGCAGCCGGGCCCGGAAGCTGCTTGTGCAGGAAGTCCGCGCAACCTTGGACTGCTGCCGCGCCTGACAGTGATCATTGACAAGAACCGCAGCAACGCTTCACATCATCGGAAGTTTTGTCTGTAACACTGCTGCTTGCCCCACAGTCTGAATATGCCATTGTTTTCTTTCAATTTTAATTTTTAGCTTGTTATTGTAAGGGGATGAGCGAGGTGCAGTCACACCAGCCAGGGCACAAGTACATTTCTTTCTTCCCTTGCTCTCTCCCCATTTCTTCCTCCCGTCCCTCAGGTCACGTGAATTCCCCTGGCAACATTCTGGGTTCTCCAAATAGGTGTCAGGATTCTTTGAAGGATCTCTCTTTGGTCTTGTTATCAGAGACCAGACCAAAGCGATAGAGCAACAGAAGAAAAATTTATCTTTAAGACATTTCAGAGATTCCTTTTCTTTTTCTAACATGAGGTCTCACTATGTCATTGAAGCTGGCTCTAACCCTCTTCTGCTTTAGCCTCCTCCATGCGGAGATCACAGGTGTAAGCTACTACTCCCACCCCAAGAAAGCTTTGTACGTTTGTGTGTGTGTGGTAATAAGATTCGTATTCAGTGTTTTACACTTGCAAGGCAGATGTTCTGCCCTTTGAGCCATACTCCCAACCCTTTTTGCTCTAATTATTTTTCAAATAAGTTCTCGAGCTTTGCCTGGGCTGGGCCTAGACGACGGAGCTCTGCCTGGACCCTTTGCCTCCTATCTGTTTCCGACATAACTGGAATGAGAGACATGCACCCTTGCACCCAGATTTTACTGGTTAAGGTTGGGGTGTCTCACAAGGCTGGCCTTGAACCTTCATCCTTCCCATCCCTGCCTCTAAGATTACAGGCATGGGTCCCAGCCACGATTCAGCTTTAAACACTGAGAAAATGTTCACAGATGAAAAATGATACTTGTGGTCCCAAATCTCAGGCTTTCTCTAGTGCTGAACAATGAAGTTTCTCTTGAAGTTAAAACTGTGAAACTTGCTTGTGTCACGCAACACATACGTGAAGTCCTTGGGAAGCCAGTCACTCCCCCGGGTGCAGCCTGGGCTCTCGGTCTTGGTCAGAGTCCTGAGCTTGTCTGTAACCTGGACACAGATGCCCAGGCCTGGGAAAGGAGTGAACGTAGGCTCCGTCCCGGAGCTCTGTGTCCTGTGATGACGGCCCATGCTGGTTGGTTGCAGGTGGTGGCGATCGACGTGGACATGGCCTTTTTTGAACCTAAAATGAGGGAGATCCTTGAGCAGAATTGCACCAGAGATGAGGACTGCAATTTCTTTGACTGTTTCTCGAGGTGTGATTTGCGAGCAAACAAGTGTGGAGCCCAGCGAGTCAACAGCAACCTACAGGTGAGTTTTCCCCTGGGGCCTCTGCCCTCCCCCAGCTGGCCCATCCTCCCGAGGAGTTGAGGGAGTACCCATCAGATAAGCCTCCTCCACCCCCGGGGTCAAGCTGGTCAAGCTGACACTGGGATCTGATGAGTGCACATGCCGGCAAAGCCTGGTGGATGTCTTCTTCCCGTAGCTGGGCTCAGCCAAGGGGCTAGCGCCCTGTTTGCTCTGGTCCAGTCTCTGCAGCTACGCAATCCCTCTCGACACAGGGAGTGAGAGCCCAGCTGATTCCTCGGGTTGGAGCAGTCACCGAGACTGCAAAAGGGCCACTTAGAAAGCGTGGACAGACAGGAGCGCTGGACACACAGCTCAGTGCAGCTGGGAGCCCGGGGGGGGGGGCAGGTGGGGAGGGGGAGAAGCTCCAGCCAGATCTGCGAGGAGTCACTGGTGGTTCTGGGCTTCAGGATGCCCACCAGTGGCAGATCATGTCCTCCGTCGCCCACCCTCACCCGAGGCTCTCTGGTGGATGGGGGAGAATGGCGCTCACAGGGCCTGGCTAGAATGGGAGGAAGTCTGAGTCTTCGGGGAGGGCGGAGGGCTAGGCTGTCTCCCTCCCCGGCGCCCGGTGCCTGTGGTCAGCCCCACCTCCCCTGAGCCCCATCCTTCCTGGGTGGGATCCCACAGCACCCCAGGAGTGCAGATTCCAGCAGAGGCCCAGGGGAGTGCGGCACGGGGCCATCCCCGTGTGGAGGGACTGGCTTTGGGAGACCAGGACTGGGGTGCTGTCCATCTGACCCGTCTAGGCCAGGCCATACAGAAGCCTTGGTTCCTCTGTCTCAGAGTCTGCTGGTACTCTCAGGCTGAGCTCCAGAATTTCAGCTGTTCCCTTTTAAGGAGGACTGGCATCGGGGTGCCAGCCAGCCTCCTTTCTGTGGACTCCCCGCCCCATAGATCTGCTTGGAATCCCTGGCCTTGGCTTGGTTGGTCTTGGGGCTTGAACTCTGAGCCTAGGAGCTGTCCCTAAGCTCTTCAGTTCAAGGCTAGCACCCTACCACTTCAGCCACAGTGCCACTTCCAATATTCTGAATAGTTTATTGGAGATAAGAGTCTCACAGACTTTTCCTGCCCAGGCTGGCTTTGAACCGTGATCCCCAGATCTCAGCCTCCTGAGTAGCTAGGATGACAGGCGTGAGCCACCAGCGCCTGGCTAGGACAGAGTAATGTTTATCTGAGCATCCACTACCTCATAATCCCATCTACCCAATGGGAGCAGGCCTACTCCCTGCAGTGAGTATAAAGAGAGGCTAAGGCTAGATCTTGAGGAGAAAAAGGCTGTGGTGGATTCATTAAGAAAGTAGGCTAGAAGCAACAGGTACAAGATACCAGAGTGATGAAATCCAAATGACCAAAGGACTTGGAAAAAGTATCTCATTTACCATTTGACGACATGCACAATAAAATCCAATGGCAAATTGGGAATAGTCATTGAAATGCTATTAATTAATGGTTGAGACCTCACAGAAGCTGCAGGTTGTCTGGCCTGTTAATGTGATTGTAGAGCGCATCTCTGAGAGTATGGGGGTGTTAGGAAGGTTTAGGCTCTCTAGCTGAAGATTTTTACATATCTTCTTGTCTGATTACTGCTTTTAAATAAAGCCCCAGAAGTATAATTACACTTTCTTTAAGACTATGAGATCATGTGAAGCAGTCAGTAGGGGGAAAAATGCAGGCTACAAGTTCGCATTACAGTATGATGCTGTTTTTGTTGAGTAGGAATGTTATTTGAAAGACAGACACCAAAGTGTTGAAAGCTATTGCTTTGAAATAGGATCACAGGTAGTTTTTTTTTTTAATTTTCTTTCTCTTTCTTATATCTTGCAAAATTTCTACTTTTCCAACTTACATTTTGTGCCCAAATTCCCAAACCAAGGAAACAGAATACAACTGGATTTCAGATATAGACCTAATGGTAAAAGGCGGCCCTGTGGCCCTGGGGAAGCTGGTGATGGAGTGTGGTGGTGGTAGCGAGAGGGTCAGGCTTCTTCCACACTTCACTCCTTCCGTCAAGCCAAATTCCGGGTGGCTCAAGTCCTTGCAAAAAGTAAAATCCTAAAAGTGTAAGAAAAAAAAATCAAAGACCAACCTTGGGAGAATTGTAAATATTGTCCTGGTATGCATCAGGCTGTGGAACACGGCTGAGAAGCTAAAGGAAGAGCAGCCGACAGAGTTCACTGTCTTTACGAAAAACATGTCTTTATTGGCCAAAGTCAGAAAAAAAACGGAACAAAACTAAAAACAATGCCCGTTGCCTTACAAGCCCAAAAGGGGGGGGAAGGGCCCAAAAGAAGTCCGGGGGGCCGGGGGGGGCCGGAACCCAACAACAAAAACTCCTTGCAAAAGGTAAAACCCCCTCCCCGAAGGGAACCCCAGGCAAGGGGGAAAAGAAAACAAAAGGAAAACCCCCCAACCCTCTGCTTCTGCCCCCCAAAACACTCCTCAACAAAGACCTGCATGCAGAATCCCTTTGTAAGGAAGCACCGATGGCCCTAAGATGTAAAGAGCATCTGCAATCCAATATAGAAAAGGAAGGTCCACATGATAGCGTTTTGGATAAATGATATAAGGAAAGAAAACACGCTGAAAAGGAAACACATAGCTTTACACCCGACTGAAAAGCAAGAATGGAAAGGAAATCATTGTTATCCATCTGTTGGTCAAATGACAGCATGGGTGATGCGTGGGGAGGAAAAGGAGGAGCTTCTGGGAGCCAAGGGGAGGCCCCGCCCTGAAGGAGCAAGGGAGCCCGCGGTGGGCGGAGCCGTGGGGGTTCTTTCAGGCCTGGATTAACCATCCCCCTCTCCTTAGGTCGTCTGTGACAAGATATTTCGTCCCTGGTTCTCCTCCACTCTGCGGAGCCCTGTCGTCTCCTCCCAGCTGGAGCTGCAGCTGCAGCAGGCCGTGCAGGAGTGCGCAGACGCAGGCGGCAGCGCCTGGAGAGTGGCCCCTCACGTGTTCTGGAAGCTTCAGTGGCTTCTTCAGGCCATCCTGAGAGAGCTGCAGGAAGCAGAGAAGTAGCTCTTCGCCTTGACCCTTGCACACAGGGAAGGACCTTCAAGTCATTCCTGCGGCAGCCATTTGGCGCTGTGAATGCGCAAGTGCCGGGATCTGTGGTGCAGTCTGGAGCGATGTGTGCCCCCAGCCCCCGTTTGAGTCCCTTTGATTGGTCCTGTCTTCTGCCCTGTCAGCCCCTTGCCTCAGAAATGAAGCCAGCAGGAGGTTCAGACCATGACTTTGGGGTAGGAGGCTCTCAGACAGAAAACACAAGCCGCAGCACGCGGTCCCCTCCGCAGAAGGCACGTGCGCCTGTCCATTGGACAAGCGGCCCACGGCCACGTGTGCACACGAGTGGATGTGTTCACAAAGGAGTGGGTGCACACACCCTCCCGAGGTGCACGTGTGTGTGTATGTAGACTAGCATGAGTGAGTGTGTGCACATGGGAATGCGTGCATACAAGTGTGTTCCTGTGTGTATACGCACATGTGCGCAAGGCTGCGTACATACGTGCGTGATTGTGCTCAAGAATGAGTGCTCATGAATGTGCACACGTCACTGGGGGCATGCGTACATGAGTCTGCCTGTGAGTGCACTGGGTGTGCATGTGAGTGTGCATGTCTGCTTGTGAGTTCATGAGTGTGCACGTGCACGCACACAGACAAGTGTGAGCAGTTGGACATGTAGGAGGTGTTGGGAGGCGGGCTGTCTGGCGTGCTCTGTGCAGAAGCTTGGCTAGCTAGCTTTCTCTTGGAAGTAAATATAATAAAAGTGTGCATCTTCAGGAAGTGTGGTTTGCATTGGAGAGTAGGTGGCAGCTTTTAGTATTCTCTGTTTTTGCAGAACTGATTTAATGGATTGTGTCTTAGGATGCACTTTGCCACTTACACAATCCATCTTCCTCCTGAGTACAGAGCCCTGGGCCTGCAGAGCACAGTGTGTCTCACCACGCGAGAGAGATGACCAAGAGTGAGGGCTGGGCTGGTACTGACCCTGGTACTGACGGGTCAGCTGCTTTCTCTCACCTGGTTGGAGACTGAGCTGTGGACAACAGGCCACACTCCGGCACCACATTCTCATCTGTGGATTCCTGAATGCAGCTTTTCTGCAAGGGCAGGCCCCCAGGAAGCAGGCCATGCTTTGGACTGCTCCAGCAAACGAGAACCCCGTGCAACCTGTGAGCCTTTCACAGTAGAGCCGCTCCATGTCTCCTCAAGTTGGACCTGTGAGCACGCACAGAATCCTCTCCTCAAATCATGTGAGAAAGGCGTGACGTTTAAAAGATGAGGAAGGGCAGTTGGTGGTTTGCACATAGAACAACTAAGCCTGAAGTTTAAAAACATGCACAATTCACAGATTCCACATGTTCCCCTCCCGGCAACACTCCTGTTGTAATCTGGAAAGGAAGCACACCACAAGGTAGTGCGTTTCTCCAGCTGTGAGCTGGTGCTGGGCAGGGCTCAGCTCTGTGATGCTCAAGACTTGTTTGAGGGCTCGTCTACCTGCCTTGCTCTCCCGTCAGCCTCTCCGCTGGTTATCTGCCAAACCACACTGCGTTTTGTCTCGTCTCCTCCCCTCCTGTAGCTGAAGACTTGCTTTGCTCTCGCATGCTTTGGCAGGAACTCCTGTCAGCCCCTGTGGCACAGTGTCTGAGCACAGGGTTTCTCAGCCAGGAGACTGGCGTGGGCTGTGGAGCTAGGCCACCTTTTCCCCAGAGTGGTGCTGGTATGTCTATGTCTCTGCTAGGCAGGTTCTTACGAGTGCAAGGCTCAAATGAAGACCAGTGTGCAACAGAGGCCCAGGAAGGAGGCTGGGGCTTCAATGCCCACCTCTTTCAGGCCTGACCTTTGCACCAGGCGGTCAGAGTGGGGGCTCGTGGGCTGACCCCGAGCGACAGCTCTTCACTGGTGGCGCTGAGCTCATGGGCCAGGCAGCAAAGCCAGCTTCAAGGAAAAACATTTGTTTGCATTCCAACAGAATTGGAAGCAAACGTTTTTGTTCACCATGGAGATTCTGCAACATATAATTACCCAGCATAATGGTCATTCTTCTCTTTTCTTCTTTGTGGCTGCATGATTACACACACACACACACACACACACACACACACACATTTCTTTTCCATCCTTGTCTGGAGAATTCTCTTTAGGGCAATAGCTCTTAAACTTTCTATAGTGAATTCATTTTATTTATTTTTTAATGTTTGTGTATCAATTCTGGGGCTTGAACTCAGGGCCTTATAGCATTTTTGCTCAAGTTTAGTGCTCTACCACTTGAGTCACAGCTCCACTTCTGGCTTTTGGGGGTTATTTGGATATAAGAGCTCATGGACTTTCCTGCCTAGACTGGCTTTGAACTGTGATCCTCAGATCTCTGCTTCCTCAGTAGCTAGAATTACAGGTATGAGCCACAGATGCCCAGCTTGTTTTAATTTTTAAACTCTTGCAGAAGAATGCTTTTATCTAATATAATAAACACTGCATATCAGATTTTGTTTTTTTTTAACTTAACTGTCCTAGGGATACAACCCAGAGGCTTTTACATGCTAGCAAAGCAGTCTACTACTGAACTCAGTCCTACATTTAATGTCTGTCTGTCTGTCTGTCTATCTATCTATCTATCTCTACCTATACTTACCTATCATCTATTTATGTCTATTAACATGTATTTATATACCTGTGTCTGTCATTTGTGTATTGCCCATCATTATGTGAACTGTAAAAGATTGTAAAGGAGGCCCAGCAAACAGTTTATTTCAAATTAAAAACAAGTAGGGTTTTTGTTTTTTTTTTGCCAGTTCTGAGGCTTGACCTCAGGGCCTGGGTGCTGTCCCTGAGCTTCTTTTGCTCAAGGCTAGTACTCTACCGCTTGAGCCATACAGCGCCACTCCTGGCTTTTTCTGCATCTGTGGTACTGAGACATTGAACCCAGGCCTTCATGCATGCTAGCCAAGCACTCTACCACATTCCTGGCCCACAAGTAGTTTTTATACTCATCTAATCACCAGCAGTCGGCTTTCACAGCTTATCTTGGGAGAGCATAGTCAAGGTTATCTTTTGATGAGAGCAGTTTTAGGATTGCAGGACATGTTGCTTTACACGGGCAGCCGGGGCACCGCTGCGGGATTATCAGGGTTCTCCTGCAGGAGAACAATAGGGTTCAGGCCACGTGAGCGTGTGGATGCCTGTGAGGAGCGGCAATCCTGGCTGTGCCGCTCAGCCCTGCCAACATTGCCCAATCCTCTCAGTTCTCAACTTGCTTTAGGTGAATGGCTAACACCTTGCTTGGTTTGGCTGCCTTACTTCACCAGGATGACACATTATGGCTGGAGCGAGTGGCAGAGAAGGTGACACATCATGGCTGGAGCAACTGTCCACCTCATGGCAGCTAGCCATGTAAAGAGAAAACGGGCTAGAGTCCTAATGTACCTTTGAGGCCACGCCCCCCAGTGGCTGTTTCCTCCAGTCAGGCCCAGTTGTTCCAGAAGCACCCACCAGCTTGGGCCTTCAACTTGTTTGAGACACATTCCTGATGCAAAGGCAACAGAAAAGGGCGTCGGCTTCTGCGCCACACCCCTTCCCGGGTAATGGCTTTCACGTCTACTTCAGTGACAACGCCTCTGGCCAGTTTCCTACTTACTGGATTTCAAAGGCCGCCTGGAAAGCTGCCCTTGTTCTCCCCGCTGTGCTCTTCCCGGGTCGTGAAGTCACTGCTCTAGCAAATTGCTGGTCAGTTAGGTTACAGAATACTTCAAAAGGCTGACAAGAAGCAGCCTTTGCATCCTGGGGGGAGCTGATGCGCTAGGAGCCAAGATAGAGTCCTTGTGCGGCAAACACTCTCTCTGCCCCTCAGGATGGTTCACATTCAGCTTTCACTTCCTCTTCTTTTTTTTTTAATTTAATTTTATTTTATTTGTGAACACACTGTACAAAGGGGTTACAATTGCATGGGCAGGATAATGCGTACATTTCTTACCAAGCATTGCAGCCTCCTCCTTTGTTTACCCTTCACATCACTTCCCAGCCTCCCCCTCCCCCCCAATCCCAATCCTTCTCCTTCCCCCCTCTCCCCACTGACATCACTTCCTCCTCTAAGGCAGCCAGCGCCCTGTGCTCCCACGGCCTGGTGGTTCCAACAGGAGCTCTGAGATGAAATGACCCCGCGTTTATCTCCGCTGTGCTGCTTACCAGTGTGTGACACTGCGCCCCGAGCCTGGTTTAAGCTTCAGGTTCTCACACTAACAGCCCTTCCTGCCCTCAAACTGGAAACTGAGTGACACACAAGTCTCTGGACCAGGCTGGAGATCAAGTGTAGATGTACAATGCACACCACCCCCAGCTTCTCCATCTTTGATCTCCTGAGCTTAATTCACACAAAGGAATTCCAGTCTAGGCCAAGCAGAATTTGAGCACCTCCACAAGCATCACACTTAAGGTCACCGCACAGCATGCAGGACCCTGTCAAGCATCACACTTAAGGTCACCGCACAGCATGCAGGACCCTGTCAAACGCTCTGGGGAATTTCACGTAGAGCTCACCTCCTTCCTCCAGAGGTCGCGTCTCATGCACAGTCAAGTTTGGGTAGGGTTTCCATCCTGACACTCAGGGCCCTGTACATTTTTGCCTCTGCCAGCCTCCAAACTGAGCATAAGTGGGCCTCTTGCTGTATTCCCTGCCTGGGGAAGACCTATGCTTTTAGCCAGATTAGAGCCACAGACTTACTTCTTTTTTCTTTTAGTATGTCATGGGGCTTGAACTCTGGGCCTGGGCGCTGTCTCTCAGCATTTCAGCTCAAGGTGAGTGCTCTACCATGGACCACAGCACCACTTCCAGTTTTCTGGTGATTTATTGGAGATAAGAGTTTCATGGGCTTTCCTGCCTGTGAGATCCTCAGATCTCAGCCTCCTGAGTAACTAGGATTACAGGCGAGAGCCACCAGTGCCCAGCTACAGCCTCCCTTCTTTAAAAACATGTTTTGTGGGTTTCGCCTGGTAGCTCGTGCTTGTAATCCCAGGCACTTGGGAGGCCGAGATCGGGAAGATCACAGTCTGGGCAAAAAGGTAGCATGAGTCCATTTCAATAATAA